GTTGGGACATGGAAAGTAGTTTACTCCTAACACCGATAGGATTAAAATTGACCTAACTATAATATCAATAAGGAAGAATGTAAACCCCCAATATACGACATTCTAACAACTAAACAAATGACGTGACAACATATAACTAAACAAAACGAATCTAATGCATACCTAACTATAAGAAAGGAACAAATCCTCATGACTAGAACCATGAATAATTTCAATTGAACCCCCGCTCCCCATTTCATGCCATAAAAAGAGAACTAACACTGCTTTGGCAATGAACGGAGCGTGAATCCAAACTAGAGATAAGCAAGACCTTTAATTTCACAAAGCAATATGCACCTCATGTCCGCATTTTTATTGTGTTACTGAATCTCAACATTTAATACTACGATCTCCTAATTATATTATATTCTAGCAAGTATGATATCGACAACTCAAACGATATCATATTGATGACACTCTATCCCTAAGAGGTAGTGTTATTTGACATTTTCCAAGCATGAACTAAGCCAAGCTTTCTTCTCCTTTCCTCCATTCCAAAATATTCATATTAGGTCAACCTTCCAGCATAACAATGCAAACCAATTATTGGCAAACCAATTATTGCATCTAAGGCTCTCCGTTATGAAAAAAAGTATATTTATCTTAATCAGATTACTAACTCCATGTATTAAGACCTCATACACAAACAAATTAATGCTCAAAGCAAAATCCTACAAAAAAGGTGCAAATTTTATTTCACATTATTTCATGTCTTATGAATAATGTCTATAGAAGTTTTCTTTTACTGGTACCTCTAGTGAGGATTACAAGAAGGATGGGTTAATTATTAAATAAGGTCTCTCTAACACACAAATAATAGATAAAAATCAGAAGCAAATGGAAGTCTTTGGAAAATAGTAAGGAGCACTCAGTACCATGTGAAGTTATTTCAAGGAGGAGACTAATTTTCTGATATTTCATTAATTGGCAAGGCCGAGTTGAATGGTCAACAGTGAACATTAAATTATGGACAAAAGTACAGTATCTTGAAAGCCCTCCACTGCGCTTATAAGCTTTTTTAGACATGGTGATAAAGAACTCCAAAATGATTTTATAAAAAGTAGAAGATGTTTAATCAACTCAAGTAAATGCCTTCTTCTATCATGCTAAATCATTGTACCTAGTTAGAATACAACAGCATTAGAAATTTCATGAGAATAAAATCTAGACACCGAAAATTTGATGTTAAGACTATCTTCTCCATTTCATATTGTCGATTCAAGATATTGAGAAGTACCTTGTCTGATATTAGGCCACAAGAGTTAAAATAGCTTGATGATGGCATCTGAGGACATGGAGCACCTTGAACCACATGTTCAAGATGAGGTCCGCTAGAGCCATCAACTTTGGCATATCCACCAAACTGTGAGTTGTTCTCAAAACCAACCATAAAGTCTTGGCCAGAAGTTCCTCTGGTTCCATTCCAGTCCCCTTCAGGGTTAGGCACATGAAGACTACTTTGATGTTCATGTGTTCTGTAGTTGAAGCATGAAGGGGGTAAACCAATTTCAAAAGGGCTAGCTTCTTTCAGATAACCATGTGCAAATGTTTTATCTATAACAGACTGAAATTTTGCACCATCTTCCACTTGATTATATTCTCTGCAGGGTTCCATATGATGATTAACAAATGAAAGGCTTAGCTCAGTTTTCTCAGTGGTTTCAGTATCAATGAGTTTAGACGGGCTACTTGGGGTAGTAGCATAAATCTTATCCAACTCATAAGCCTCATTCGAGATTTCTAGAACACCAGAACCACCAAGTTCCATACCCTTAGTTAGCTCCTTGTTGGGTTCATATGAGCCATCATAAAAAATTCTAGTCATCCTTTCTTCTGTAAAGAATTGTTCATCAACTGCAGAAGTGAAATCAGAGTAGACTCCGATTACCTTATCTTGCACAGATCCTGTAACTGAACTGGAATTCAAACCAGTACAACTCCTACTGAAAACTTCAGTTGACTCACTGTCTGCAAAGTTCTGAAGGTTGTCGAATTTAGGTGACTCCATCTTTCTTTCACACACTTCATCTTTGTCATTTGCATTACCACACAGATCTTTCTGAACAGACAAAGCAACATGCATTCTTGTAGATGTGCTCTGTGGCCCAGTCTCTATTAGAAGAGAACCAAGTGCCTTTGGGTCATCTTTCATGGAGACGTTTTCTTTCTTGTTACAAGGCCAAACGACTGAGCTGATCGCATGCTGCATCTCATTGGGGCTACTTACGTCATCATTACCTTCTATCAAAGTACCATGACATTTCCCCAAATCAAGTGTTCCATCAACGCTGGGGATGTTATCACCCACACGTGCTTTCTCATTAACCCTGGTTAGCGTGCTGCCTTTAGGATTTACAGTAAGTATAGATGTCATTGTTCCAGAGGTTGATGTGTTTCCGGAATTACCATCACAAGTCAAGTATCCAAAATCACTATGCTGCTGTGAACTAATGAGTAGGCCTTTGTCCTGGTCAACATGACTTCCAAACGAATCAAATACAGAACCATTATCTACAAAATCCTTACGATCAAGTTTTAGCTCATCCGTTGTCCGACAGTTACGGTTAATATTTCCAACATCACATTTTTCCGCAGGATAATTTGAATCTGGTAGGCTGTGTTCCCCTACCGTACATTGCTCGGGCTTCTCTATGCATGCATTTAAGATTCCAGAGTTCACCTGCAAACTGGAGGTATCATCAATATTGTCTGAAGCATTATGATTGACGAGCACATCCTCATGGAAACATTTGTTCTCGTTGCTAGACAAGATAACCTCAGGAACTGAACAAGTATTTGTTTCAGAAACTACACCGGAAGGCTCATTAGCAGCTCTCATTTTGCCATTAGCTTCATTTTCTCCAGCATGCCCATTATCTTTATTGCAAGGTGAACACATGTCCAATGCATTATTACTGACGACAGCATTATCAGATTTTATTGACTCTTCAACCATAGTCTCTCGAACTTCTGAACTGCCAAATGAACTAGGATCAACAGCCTCAGTGTGTGATTCTCCAGCAGTCTTCGCTTGGTATCTCACATGGGCAGCACCAACATGACCATTATACCGACGCCTCTCGGAAAATGTCTTATGACAGAATTGGCACTCGTATTTCCCGTCCTTGATTATCACCCCATCAGTAATGCGCACGGAATTTTTGTGTCTGTTTCTTGAGTGAACAGATGATTCATGTTGCAATAATTCATCTCTCCCCTTGAAATTTGCGTTGCACTTGTTGCAATGTATAATATCTTCAACACTGCTCTCCAACAAAACTCCAGCACCAATTTCAACTTGCATCTCATGATTACTGGAAGCGGAACCGAGAGTGGGAGATGGCACATGGGAAGTTGGGTTATCCTTTACACCGCCGTCATGAATAGTAGTATCTGAAATCTGTAACATTTACGCAGTCGATAAAAATCTACATATTTGAAAAGAATTAATGACTGGACTTGTATAAATCAGCATAAAAAACAAGTTAACTTACTGCACGAGAAGTCAATTTATCATCACTGTCAATCCCATTATACTGGATAGAGTTATGTGTGGCTGTATCTTGGACACCTTGAAGAGAGAGTAAATACAAAGAAACTTCCTTGCAAGACACAAAATGCAGTCCACTGGGGCTGAAATGAGCAAAAATGGGATCAACATATTAATCACAACATGATTGCCAGGGCTGGAACATGGAGCCCGCTATATCAGCACAATGAGTCACATTCTCGGGGCAAAAAGTTAGAAACTACGAACTAAAAACTGTTAGGTTTAAGGGATCCGGAAAAATAAAATACATAATTTTATTGAGGAAATATCAATAGGGATGGACAAGATTTGCATAACTTTTCCAGCAGAAATCTTCCAAGTCTGCCTAATAGCCAATGCTATTACAAAATAAATCTCTCTCCGTATTATCTTAATGAACATTGTATCTTATATATTAAACTATATCTAATATAAAAGTGGTAATAAGAAATATAAGGGGTAGGAAAATAATAGCATGTAACGAACAAGATTTACATGACTTCTCCCGCAGAAATCTTCCTGTATGCCCAATAGCGAATGCAAAAAAAATATATCCATACCATCTTATTGACAACTGTATCTTGTATGCTAAACTATAGCTAATATAAAATGGTAATTAAGGGGTAAGAAAATATAGCATGTATGGAATAATAAATAAGTCAAAACCCATAAGATTAAGCACCTAAAATCGGCATAAAATATTCTACGATTGATGTCCTTTAATTATTGTATCTTTATTATAGCCGCCTCCCAGAAAACAGCCTTGAGAGGAAGGCTGCAGATGAAAAAGTTCTGAGTGAACGGCAAAAAACTATGACTAGTAAAAAAGAACACCATTGACTATTGCGTAGGGGCCAAGATTGTCATAACGCAGGCTAGAATCATGAATTATCCACTTCCCTCCATTGGAAAAGAGAAGGTATTTGCCTTGGAATTTTCAGCCTTGATAGCATATAAATGCAAGGGTACAACCCAGCAACAAGGAAATCTTCACAGTGAAAGATTCCAAACAGAGGGCGGGCACCTTGGCAATCTTGTTATGCTGCGAAACTGATTGCACTAGAACCAGTGGAACAGGGGAAGTAGTGTTAGTCGATTCGCAGCTACTCAAACACGTTGGCATGGTGATTGGTGATTCAAGAGAACCGAGGATGTGGAATTCACTTGTTGACATTATTGACTTAGGAGGTGTCGTAGGCTTCAATGTTGTCATAGTTTTAAATGGCGATGCCATGGCGGGAGGCAGCAGAGACGGGTGTAAAATTGTCTCACCCCTGCATGAGGCAGCACTGTAAGCGGCCCCTTCACAGCGCCTTTCCTCTTGCCACAGTCAATGTAGAGGCACGCCATGCTCACAAGCCTCCAGTTTTTAGTATCGTGAGAGATTTTGCGCTGCCTCTTTGAGTTTTTTATGAGAATTCTCACGCCACTACACCCCTAGGGTTTTTGTTTCTTTTCCTTTTCTCTCTTTCATTTCTTCTTTCCTTTTGGATTTTGGTGTTCCCTTTATTTTCTACTTTCCTTTCATTTTTCTGACATCCGTGTTGCTATTTCCTTCCTATCTTTTCTTCCTTTTTTTTTTCCTTTCTTATTTCCTCGTTCTGCATTTTCTCTTTTCTATAGGCACTTTTCAACTTTTTTTTTTCAGTTCCTCTCTGGCAATTTTAGTTTTAGTTAGTTTCTATGTTTTCTTTTTACGTTTCTCTATTCCTTTTTTAGTAGTACCTGTTGTTGTTGTTGTTGTTGTTGTTGTATCTTTTGCCATTTATTTTAGTTTAGTTTTGTCTTATATTTCTAGGGTTATGCATTTTGTTCTAATTTTATTTAATGCTGCCATTTCTAATTTTATATTTCTTATGATATTTGAGGTTCTGTATCGTTTGAACTTAAATATATAATGCGCTATATATATATACACACACACACACACACTTTTGTGCCTTGTGTGCCGATGCCTCGAGGCCAGGCCATAGGCATATCGCCTCACCATTTGCCATTTAAAACTACGGTTTTTCCAACTAAAATGTGCTTAGCAAGAATAACTTGCCCAATAGCCAATGATATTACAAAATACATCTCTCCATCTTACCTTATTGACAACCCTATTTTATATACTAAACTATAGCTAAATATAAAATGATAATAAAGAATATAAAGGCTATGAAAATAATTGCATCTAAGGAATAATAAATCAGTCAAAATCCATAAACTTAAGCATTGATTAAGGTCCTAAAATATCAGCATAAAATATTCTAAGATTGCTATCCATCTATTCTTCCATCTCTACAAAAAACAATGTTATCAAATCTTCGCCATGGCGGTATGACGTGGCGAATTTAGAAATTCGAGAAGGATGGCAGTTATGACGGCGCCATAGTGGGATTTCCAGCACGCCGCCATTTTCCGTTAACCGCAGACTAAAAATGAAGTGGAAAATAAAAGGACATAATATTCACATGCTTTCTTAAAATCAGTTACCTAAAAGAATCTACAACTGTCTGAAACCAAAAGTACCTTAAAAGGAAAAAAAAGCAATCAAACACTTGAATAATAAGAAATACTTCCATTTATTTGTTACCGATGAGTGTTCATAAATTGAGTAATTAACCACAAGAATTAAAAGAATTCCCAATTACAAACTTCATAACACCAAAAATCGAAAGAATATATGCTTCTCTTAAACCTACTACTTTGCCACTAAAACATGCATTTTTCAGTATGTTTCGGATTCTAAGCAGTAGGATACAAATCTTGAACCGTCTGATGACACTCTAAAATGCAATGCCTCTATACAGGATTAGAAGAATGTATGAAAGTAAAAGGTAGGAAGCTACTGAAGAGTAGTGATTTGGTAGAGACTAGTCATTCATTCACGTAAGCAATGATGAGTTCTTTTGTTTTTTACTGCGATTGAGCCTCTTGTAGTCACTATTTTTTTGAAGGACAAAGATACACATACACTATGTGGCATCGACTATATCAAACCATCAGTCAAAGCCCATCTTTTCATTTATTTAGCGATGTATAAGTTATAACACGTCCTTTATTATAGTTTCTATCAAATTCTTTTCAGGTTCCCATGTCCAAATCTAACTATATCCTATGCACAATTCCAACCATCTCCAAGAGCAGCCAAGGGAAAAAATATCAGAATATCCACACAATCACACAAGAGAAAGTACTTCCACAAATGTTCATATTATGAGTAACAAACAGCACAAAAGACCAAATGAAAATAATAATAATAATAATAATAATAATAATAACCTTATGTAGCGACGACAATACAGATGCGCACCGCCATTCTTCTTCTTGACGGAGAGTAAAAGCTTCCAACCGACAGGAAGTGCCGTCCCAAATTCACTAGCATCCACAATCCTCTTTTTCTTCCTCCTGCTTCCCCACTGTCCACTCAACCCTTTCAAAAATTCCAACAATTCCTCCTCTGTCTCCAAACCGTGGGTCCTACGTTTCATCTCCTCCTCATAAGGATGCTCTACCGAACCCAATGCTGCCAAATCCACGGCCACTCCATCTGCGTTTGTGACTTCCCCGTCTTTCTCCTCATGCACGAGAATCTCACTCAGAGAAGAATTCCCATCCACGCCGTCCGCACTAACCACCACAGCCGACTCCAATTTTCCATTCGTAGGAGGGCGGCCACGCTTCCGTTTGTGGCCTGCAAGGCCCCCATTTGTGTAGTCGATCTTAACCATGAACAATGACCCAGGGTCCATATCCCTGAAGGATAACAATTGTTTGAGAAGGGTAACGATCTGGGCATTCTCGGGATCGGAACTATTAACATCGGCGAAGGAGGAGGAGGCGGGACGTAGATGTAGGGTGCGGCGGCGGGCGGAGACGGTGGAAGGGGAAGATGAGGGCGGGGCGAGGCGGAGGCGCGAGTAGGTCTGTTTGCGGGAGCCAGCGGACTCGTTGAAAACGGAGCGATCAATGGTAGGGATGACGACGTCGTCAAAGCGGCGGGGATCGAAGGCGGCGGAGGAGCAGAGAGAGAGAGAATATAGCTCCGATTGGGAGAGGAGCCGAAGATCCACAACCGGCAGCGAGTCCGATTCGAGGGAGCCGCCGCTGTCTGCGGTGGCTGTGGCGGTGTCCACAATGACGGAGGCCATGCTAAGGTGGGAAACTGGGGACGACCAAGGGCCAGGTTTTTATTTAGGTTAGCTTCAAATTACTTTTTGACCCCTGAAAAGATCCCATTTGCAGTCAATTTTAGTTGTTAAAA